ATTTTGAATCAGTGACCTCAAAAACATATAATATGACAATATCATGATTTAAAAAAAATTTTTTTTTTGAACACTTATGGCACAAAAACTTTATTTTCACTCGACTGTGAAGGGGTTAATATTGCTAAAATCATCGAAAATTCTTATGATCACTTGGCGTGGAATTGCTCAAGTGTAATACCCAGATCACAAACCTGATATTTATTTAATATTTTCTGTATTTTTTTATTATACACTTTACTTAATTTATTTTATTTTATAAAAAGCGTTATAAATAAAAAGACAATTTAAATTATTCATTTATTTATTTATTTGGTTTATACACCCGTCTTAAGCCTACAATCTTGGCTATACAAGTGTTTCTCTACAATTTTCTCTTACACATTTTCTTATACAATATAACCTTATACTAAATTTTGCGCCTACAGAGCGACTTGAAAATTAGGAGTACTCGCATTTGCCTGGACCACCCGTTTAATCGGTTTTCTCGCCAGTGGAGAGGGAAACTGTAGAAAACCTCTCCTGAGTACAACCGGTTTATTGACAGTAGAGTTCTAATGGTGTGTACTGGACAATAATCGACGGTGCACATCATTATACCTCGACGTCAAACCTCCCGCTCAGATTGTCTCACGTGCCGGAAAAATACCAAGCCAAATGGGCGCGAACCAAGGGTACTATACCCTTGGTCCTTAAACGACCGCCAAGCGAGGCATCTATTCGACTGAGCTAATCTGTCGGTTAGACAATTTAAATTATTTTCCCAATAACTTTTTATTAATTATAAAGAAGATTTTGAAGGATATGGTGATTTAATTTCTCCACTTGAGAACGCCAAGATCGCCACCAGGTGGCGAGGAATCTGATTTGATCAATTGAACTTCCATTTAACGGTGACCTTGGCGTTTGCAGGTGAAGAGTAGAATCTCCATGTATTTAATCTCGAAATGTTCGTAATGATTTTATAATTATTTATAATCAGACAGAGAATTTTCCAGTAAAAGAAAGTATTGAGTGGAGCCGTTAGGAATTGTCAGTAGCTCTGAGCCAACCCAGTGTGCACGTTCTAGAACAATTAATGGAAATAAAGAACAGTTCTAGAACGGTTCCAGTACATGCACACTGGGAATACGGCTTTGTGAAAAACCGTATTGAGACGTTTGACTCAATCTTTTTTTCGTCCACCGAATACGGTCCTCTTTTAACATTAAAATTAAGATCATATGAGTAGAGTACACAACATAAATTGAAAGCACAATAGTCCTGGTATATAAAAATGACGATTTCGAAACGAAACAGTGAAAAATTATTAAAAAGTGGTAAAAGCAAAATTTAACAGACGCTACTGCACTAACCATATGAATCAATGAAAAACATGATGTTTAAATAGATTAATGTGAATCTACTGTACCGACTTCACTGATTCTTATGGTAAATGTAGTCGCTCTGTGATCTTAATTTCAATGCTAAAAGAGGACCGTATTCAGTGGACGAAAAAAGATTGAGTCAAACGTCCCAATACGGTTTTTACACAAATCTGTATTGGCTCAGAGCTATTGCCAATTCCTAATGGCTCCACTCAATACTTTTGTTTTACTGGGTTAGAGAGTTTGACAATTAACATAAAAGACTAAAATTTTGAATTCACTAAAGTTAATTTGCGATTTTCTTATGGTCTCCAATTTTTTTAGAACATTAGAATTAATTTCTTCACTAAATAAATTGATATTTAAAATGTCGGTTTGAGAAATAAATTAGTAGCTAAATTGTTAATAAGATCGAAAAAAAATTGTTAAAAAAGTGTCGAAATTAGGAGTCGAAAAGTATTAAATAAATTTATTGAAACAATTGAAAGGTCAATTTATTCTTGAGTGTAAAATTGAAAAACCGGTAGGAATCGAATCTCAAACTCACAGGTCATATTAACAGTGAAGCAAACAGAAGTGCTTTAACTCTTGAGGGTAGGGGAGACCAGGTGCGGTTGTTACGCTGTACAGTTGTTACAAATGGAATATATCTCAGAAACAGTGAATTATAGAGATAGGGTTCTCAAAGGAAAAATGTTTAGTTTTTATGTACGAACTTTCTGCAATATGTTTAAAAATTATATGCAAGCTTTACAAGTAAAAAATAGGCACATTGGTTTTTAGAGGCCAAAAGTAAATATTTCTCTGCTTGATATTTTTTAAATAGTTAATAGACCTTTATACTTAACAAAGTAAACTTTTTAATATCATTTCTATGAGGATCAAGCTTTAAGAAACTGCCTTGGTTGTCCACATTTAGTGTGTATATACCTACTTTTTTAATAAAGTGATTTATTGTAAAAATGTACCTGTTGTGTAGTTGTATAAGTGATGATGACAACCGATATTTTTTCCAAAATTCAGCAGATTCGTTTGAAATGTAAAATATTTGTCAAAATGTAATCACACTCATTTTTTATAAAAAATCTCATGTTTTTTCTAAATTCGACTTCAAAATTTATAAAAAAAAAACTTTAAAAAATTTTTTTCATTTCGAAACAATATTAGTACTGCCATCTCTATGGAACTGTCACGTACTATTACGTTAAGCCAAAAATCATGATTAATTAATAAAAATTGTTATAAAAATTATTTGCCTTCAATTTAGAAATGTTATAGATGATTCTTGGAATTGTAACAACCGACATTCACTTTGTGCAGTTGTTACAATTTACACGCTGTCACTCAAATGCTTCTAGTTATTTAAATAATAGATATAGAGCTAAATCAATTATGGCCTTTTAAAACTAGATAATATACCTTTGATTTAACTGTATGACCAAACTACACGAAGAGACCCACATTTGTAAAAATTACTAAAAATGGTTGCAATGACCGGAAATAAGGGGACTTTTAGCATAATATACTACAGAATTAGATAAATTTACAAAAGAAATAGATAAATTTGCTACATTGAAATAGCAAGTTTTAATATTTTATGTAAGAGTTGTAAATGTAGCAAAAATTGATTATAGTTTTTTCTAATTTAATTAGACAAAATCTGACAAATGAAAACATTTTCCACTAAAACCTACTATCCACTGTAGTAATTTTTGGTGAGCAAGTGTTGCTAGCGAGTGCAGTCATATGGCGCCTGCATTTCTATTGGTTGATAACTTCGTCAATCTCCGTAAATGAGCCGATGCCATCCGATCATTGACAGTGACTATGTTTCGCGTATGTAAAATAAATTTGGATATTATCTACAATAATTAAATATAAAGTGAAACGTAGGTCGTTCGTTATCTCAGAAATTGACCATTATAAATTAATAAATTTTGCATTTATTCCTGTCCCAAGAACTATGTCTTATAATAAGTTGTTAAAAGTAAACTGCTTTCTCGTAAGTGCTGTAAATTTTCATCATTCAATATATAAGGAAACGAAGATGTATACTTTCAGTGAAATTCGTCGTCGTGCGTGCAGTTGTGTATTAGTGTATTAATTAACCGCGTCTATACATATAAGTGAAATAAACATGTGTGTGTCTTCAAATATTTATCCAACAAATATATAAGTGTGTGTGTGTGTGTCTTTGTATGTAAAAATCCTTCCAGTTTACCTCCATTAGTCAAGAATTGACGGGAAACCGACGACAAAAATCCGTATTTTTTCTATCACTCTTTCTTTCTGCATTTACAAACGACTATAGTAATTTTATGTACACAATACTTCTGAGTTTACTACAGTTGTTTCGAACTATTGGACGAAATAGTAAGAAACTTTGCTAATTTGGTGAACATTTGTCGGATTAGTGACTTAGTGTAGAAAATAGTAAAAAATACAAAATGTCCCCTTATTTTCGGTGGTTGCAATGTGAAAATAGTAAATTCTAGTGTGATTTTATACAAAAATTAGTAATCTCGGTCTCTCCGTGTAGTATATTAAGCAACAAGGGTATAAAGGCAGCCATTTGTTTACGGTGATTTTTGTGACACGAGTGGAGGTCGAGGGCGCCTTGAGACCTCCACTCGTGTCACAAAAATCATCGTAAAGAAATTGGCTGCCTTTATTCCCATGTTACTTACGATATTTTTTATTCCTAATGCACAAAAGTGGCGATTTCAGATAGCAGACGACAGGGAATAAAAGTCAGTCACTTGTTCGACTTATATGAAAATGGCGGCCGTTTTCTCCCTTGGGCAAAAATAACGCATGGGATCAGCGGTTATGTTTGCACATGGGAGAAAATGGACGCCATTTTCATATGGTCGAACAAATGAGTGACTTTACTCCCTGTCGTCAGCTATCTGAAAGCGCCATTTTTGTGCATGTGGGATAAAATAGTATATTGTGCACCTAGGGAGGAAAATAGTGATTTTCGCGAGGGTGAAGTTTGTAGTTCGAGACGTAGCGAGCGTACGAGCCGAAGGCGAGTGCGAGCGAATTCAAGAACTGCAAACACACGAGGCGAAAATCATTTTCCTTCCGTGGTGCACATACTATTTTTTCTAACACACGTAAACGAAAGTACAAATATGCAATTATTTAACGGAATTTTTTGAAATAAATACTATTAATTTTATAATGTTAATTTATTATTAGATTATTAGAAACAAATATTCACAATACTGATTATATTGAAATTAGAATGTTTGACAATTAAAAATAATTAATAATAATATATACATTTAACCACAATTATAATAATTATTATTGTTGTAATATTTATTTAAAATCCATTATTAATTTAAAAAATAACAATATGATACATATTTAATCTTAAAAAATATATAGCTCTTTTTATATTTTGCATTTAAAAAAAAAATTACAAATTATTATAGCAGCAGGAAGAAAATATTACTTTCTCTCCCTGCCTCCGGGAAAGACGTACTTTTTACCCTCTTTATAGGTGAGAAATGATGTACTTTCGGTGCGTGTGTTAGAAAAAAATATTTTCATAATTATAATTAGCAGAGAAGATATATTTTTCAAATTATATTTTCCGTTAGTAAAATAATTTTTTTTCCACAGGTAAAAAAAATGTATAAAAGAGTGGCGGAGAGGTTAAGGTTTCTCTATAAACCTTATGCTTTAGCTATAGTTTCAATTGGATATGTTCTAGGTGAATTAGGACACTATTTAATTGGTAAGTTTGATAAAAATTTGTCCAAAAAAAGAATAAATAAAAAAATTTCGTGTATAATAAATTTATTTAAATTACGATTACAGAAATTTTTTGGTTCAAATAAAAAAAGGAAAGAAAAGAAATAGAATTATGAAAGATAAATTTAATTGCTAAATTATAATTGAAACAGTGTAGTTTTTAAAAATCATTATTAATTTCTAATGATGCAAAAAATCAGTGAAACCAATTAAAAAACAATTTTCCCCTACTTTATTATTACTGAGAAAAAAAATTCATTTGCACGAATTTAAAAATCAAAGATAATTCTTTTTTAATATTACACTACCACTATTTTTAATAATAGCAATTTTCAAATTAACTGTTACTCAGAAAATACGATCGATTTATTACAAAAAACAAAATTATAATAAATAATCTGTTATTAAATTTCATTAACAGTAAAATCCATTTTTTTAAATAATATATATAATTGTTTATTTATGAATTTGAATTATTTTAATTTTAATTTATATTTAATTATATTTCAATAATAACAAAATTAATTTTTTTAATAATTAATTTTTTATTGAAAACAAATTTAAAACTATGAAAAAATGGGGTACTAACTCTTAATTTTTTATTTATATGCTTTTTGAATTTCTACAAAAATAACTTTCAAAAAATGAGAAAAAATACGATCAAATTTATTAAAAGAAAAAAATTATACTAAATAATTTATTTTATTTTAAAAATTATAATTTATAGGGAAGAGTTGTCAGGGTTGGTCAGTGTTTAGGGTTGAGCTACCGCGTTTATTTTGTTTTATCACACTAGTGCCATCTGTCTTTGTACGTAAATTCTTACTACTAATGTCAGCAAACTTTTTACATAAGTCGCAGTGAAGTATACGAACGTATACTTGTGTATTGCGAGTCAGTGCTATACGCTCAGCAAAGACTTTTCTGCGTTGTCAAAAGAAGAGAACTAAATGTAGAAGAAATATTTCAAAGACTTAAAGAGGTGTTAAAACTGCATTTCCATTAAAAATAAAAAAAAAATATTTTTTGATAACCTTTTTTCAATTTTTCAATTTTGGATTTCGTTCATGAGGAATAAAATATCTAAAGTTATATGAAAATGCATAATATGGGATTTTATTTTAATTTCATGGTTTCTTTCCTCATTTCCAAGTGTCATTCTATCATTTAAAGGTCATTTTTAATCATTTACCTAAATATCTCATTGATTTTCTACAGTAGCTCATCTCTGGCAACCATGTTCATCCCTGGCTACTTTTTTTTAAATTGCTTATAACTCCGAAACTTTTGGTCAAATTTGTTTACCATGTTCAGTAAAATGATTGCGTTTGAGTTGATCTTTCCAAAAGTCAAAACTATGCCCAACCCTGACAACTCTCCCCTATTTAATTTTATTTCAACAACAAAAAATTAAACATTTTTTTTATATAATTTAATTTTTCATTTGTTTGTCATTCGAATTTCTATAAAAATACTTATAAAAAATGTAAAAAAAACAATAAATGAAACGAAAATAATGCTTTTTTTCTTTATTTTATTATTTCATTTTTTTTCAAAATTTAAATTACAAAAATTTATTTGAAATAGTTTAAAAAATAAGAAGAGAGAAAAGAAGTAGTTAACAAAAAAGAAAAAAATAGTTTACAAAATAAAAAAAAAAATAAAAAATAGTAAAAAAATAAAATTCTTAAATTACAAAAAATTTAATTTTTAGGTGTGACAAGTAAAGCAACGGCTGAAGATTTGCACTATGGTGATATTTCCTGTCAGCTAAATTCAACGGAATTTTCTTTAGTAGATCTTCCGGTTCAATGTGAGGCGGCAAACAATTCGGAATAGTAAGTAAACGACCCTGAAAAAATTCAATCAAGTGGAAATTATTTGTTTTCTTTTTGTTTCACTTTATATAACTCATTGACACAGATAGGTATATATATATATATATATATATATATATATATATATATATATATATATATATATATATATATATATATATTACTTTATTACTATTACTATATTATTTATTATATTATTATTATTATTATTTATATATATATATATATATATATATATAATATATATTTAAAAATTATTTTCTGTTGATGCTTCCTGTGACCTCACTTTGGACAAGTTCATTGTTAAGGTAAAAAGAGCAAAAAAATCATGATTCAACATAATATAGGTCCAGTGAGGTGTAAACTACATAGTCTTAATTCGAAAATGAAAAAAAAATTTCTCCAATCAACCGTGTCTGTTATATAAAATATTTCCTTATATAGATCTTTTTTTATAGTATATAGAAAGAGACGCTCTCAATGCGGAACAAAGTAAAGAAAAAAAATATGAAGGAAAATCAATCGACATTTTTTCTTTACAATATTGAAAAATGGAAATCAAATGAAAGCAGAAATATGTAAAAAATTTTGGTACATTTGTGGGTCAAATTTTTATATTTTTTGTGTTCGATTTTTTGTTGTTTCTATTGTTTCGTTGTTTGAAAATCTAAAAAAATACTCAGTGTAAAAAGAATTAACTTCAAAGGTTAACAATTTTCTTATGTAATAATAATTTAAACTATTAGTTAGTTTTAAATAAAATTTGAACTTGCAACTAATTAGTCTTCCCTCATTACGAAAAAACAAAAAATAATTATTAACCCGTTGCCTGTTTCTGACCCACGGGTGGGTCGTGAAAAAGTTTGGCCATAACTGTTTCCGACCCACCCGTGGGTCGTGTTCATTTTCACTCAAAATAAATATAATGTGTATGGGTGAATCTCTCAAAAAGGACAAATGACACGTTCAAGACATTTTTCTAAAAAATATTTAAAATTAATAAAAATAATGGCCCCCATATGATAGTATTTAACTCGATTTAATCAGGTCATATGAGAAAAAAAATATAAATTTTATATTATCTGAAATATCCATATTCATATGGTGCAAAAACTCCATTCCGTTACCGTGCATGAAGCTAATTTTACTCAAAGAATGAATATTACTTCCCATTTAAAATCTAATTTCATCTCTTGTTTAGTAATATTTATTAATTATTCTTTATTTTACTTAAATCCGGAAAAGGTAAGGCAAAATATTTCTAATTCTATTTTCTAGAATTAAATTAGTTTTGTGCGCCATTGAAAACTCCATTCCGTTACCGGTGACAAATATAAATATTAAAGGCAAACAAACATGTTAGGGGAGCAATACAGAGGTAAATAGTATTTAGAATACTAGTGTGATTGAAGATCAGTGCGAATTAGGATGAAAGAAAAGAAAATATTCAGTATAAAAAATGAGATTTTCAGTTGAGTAGTCGGCATCGACAGAAAGAAAACTCCATTCCGTTACCGCAGTAAATTCTAAATTTTTGTAAGGAAATGATAAATATTATTATTAATTAATAGAATATTCTTTTATTTGAATAAAATATAGCAAATACTATTGATTGTTTGTTAATAAAATTTTATCTTTTTACATTAGAATCAATATATTTCGGAGCTATCGAAATTAACAAAACTCCATTCCGTTACCGCCAGTGGCTTTTCCTTTTTTGAAAAGTAAATGAAAATTTTTATTTATAATTCTTAGAATAATTTTTTATTTTTATAAAGCTTAACGACATTTAACGTTTTAATTCAAAGTTTAGAAAATTTTTTAATATATAAGTAATCAATTTAAGCGTCGTCCAAGGGAGAAAAAACTCCATTCCGTAACCGACAGTACTTTTTCCGTTATTTGCTAAATAAATGATAAATAACTTTAAAACTTATTTCTCGGGGGTTTTTGGAGCCACTGATTACGAAGTTAATGTTAGTTCTTTAAAATTCAAAATGGCGGATCCAAAATGGCGGACGAAATATTTTAGAATTTAGTGAAATGGCTTAAATTTCGTTACTCGGGGGTTTTTTGGGTCGCTGATTACGAATTTAATGTTAGTTTTTTAAAATTCAAAATGGCGGATCTAAAATGGCGGACGAAAGATTTTAGAATTTAGGGTAATGGCTTAAATTTCTTTACTCGGGGGTTTTTGGGGTCGCTGATTACGAATTTAATGTTAGTTTTTTAAAATTCAAAATAGCGGATCCAAAATGGCGGACGAAATATTTTAGATTTTGTAAAATGGCTTAAATTTCGTTACTCGGGGGTTTTTGGGGTCGCTGATTACGAATTTAATGTTAGTTTTTTAAAATTCAAAATGGTGGATCCAAAATGGTGGACAAAATAAAATTTATTTTTATAAAAATTTGACCGCCATATTGAATCCGCCATTAAAAATTTTTGAATTATGACCGCAGATTCGTAATCAGCGATCCTAAAAACCCCCGAGTAACATGTTTTAAGAGAATCCAATTAATTTTCAAATATTTTATCCGCCATATTGTATCCGCCATTTTGAATTTAAAAAAATAACATCAGATTTGTAATCAGCGACCCCAAAATCCCCTAGACAACAAATTTGAGAAGAATCCAATCAATTTTTACAAATTGGACCGCCATATTGGATCCGCCATTTTGAATTTTTGAATTCTGACCTTAGATTCGTAGTCAGCGACATCGAAAACCCTAGAGTAACCTTTTTCAAGCCAATTCACTCATTGTATTTGCGACCAAAAATTAAACAATTATTTTACAATAAACAATTATTTTTTAAACAATAATGTTTATAAAGATCGTAACCACATATTTTAGAGACTTACTATAGTCCTCCTCTTCTCATAGGAATAGTCATTTAAATGTTTTTAAAACTTTTTTTTTTTAATTACAATTTAGAATTTGTTCTTTTTGAGAGATTCACCCGTATATAAATTGATAGATATTTTTCTTTATATCAATATTATAAGACATTATAAGGGTCATTAATTATATTTTTTACAATAATTAAATAATTAGTTATAATTTAAATATATTATACTATTTGAAAAAGTATCAGATTCCGCTGGACATTTTGGGACAATCATGTTGTATTTTCCTCAAACAGTTAAGGGGTTAAAAAACATTTTTTTGGAATTAAAACAAGCCCTTCGAAATTAAAAAGATAAAAAGCAAAAAAATATTCCGAAAGAAACGAAGTACGATATTCACTCAATGAGATTTTAAATGCAGTGAAATATTTTCCCGATTAAAAAAATTTTTTTTAAAGCATCGTTTTTGTAATAAAAACAAAGAAAATAGAAATGAAACTAGCTTTCAATTATTTTTAGCTGCGTTTCTTTGGATTTAAATGGAACAAATTATTGCGAGTGGAATTACAATGGACTCGGAATTGACTATCAAATACTTGCGGGTCCAAGTTTCATTGCAGTTTTCACAGTTGCTGGCGTCATTCTTGGATTTGTCGCCGACAAATTTAACAGGCAAAAGAATTATTCAATTTTTTAGTTACAAAAACTGCTATTAAAAAGAATACACTTGCTTCATTTTGCAAGAAGAAATATTTTTAAATTTTCTATAAATTAATTTTGCAAAATTGAGATTGTTTAGTAGGAAAGAATTTGTTTGTTTAAATACTAATAAAAAAATCATATGCAATAAAGAAGAAGAAGAAGAAATTATATTCTAATAATACTGTATCTTTGATGTAATACTATTTTCAAAAACGGAATCATTAAATTCTTTTTAATTGACATTCAATTATTAGAACGCCTTTCGCAGACTATCTGACTTACAGAAATGTGTAAACTTTATTGATATGAAATATGAAACATTTTATATGAATTCAACAATATTTTAAATATTTATAATAATTATTTAAACATTTGAACAATACTTTAGACATTTAAATAATTATTTTAACAATAATTTACACAATAATTTGAATATTTAAACAATATTTTCAACATTTAGACAATAATAATTTGAACAATTACTGTAACAATTATTTAAAAAATTAAGCAATACTTTAAATACTTAAATAATAATTTGAAAAATAATTTGAACATTTGAACAATACTTAAAACATTTAAGTAATAATTTGAACACTTATTTAAACTTTAAAAACTTAAATAATAATTTTAATAATTATTTAAAAATTTGAACAATACTTTAAACATTTAAATAATAATTTGAGCAATTATTTATACAACAATTTAAACATTTAAACAACACTAAACATTTAAACAATATTTTAGACATTTAAGTAATAATTTAAACACTTATTCATATACAAGAATTTAACCATTTAAACAATATATTAAACCTTTAAATACCCAAAGGGAAAAAGACCATTGGCGCATTAATGGCCTAATATTGAGAGCCAATAGTCAAATATTGTCCCATTATTGGCACCCAATAATGGACCACTAATGGTAAAATCGTAGGATGTCCACGCCGATGCCAACCATTATTAGGACAATAATTAAAAAACCATTAAGCCATTAAAAAACCATTAATAAAAAAAAATTTTTATTAACTTTTATTAAATAATAAATTTATTTAATATTAAAAATAATAATTTTTTTAATTAATTATCTTATAGAAACGGTTATTATTTTCTATCACATCGAAATGTGAATAACCCTTTCGTTCAGAGTCTAAAAATTATTTACCTCACATCCATCAGTGCAAAAATAGGAGAGGACGGGTGGAATAAAATTCCACAAATATTGGTGATAATGCTGCCTCCTTATATACTTTTCAAGTTTCATGTTAGTTGCGAGAGAGTTTGAAACAACACCTCCTACGGAGCGTTGAGCGAACTACATATTTACCGCATGATAATTTCTGCAGCGTCGGTAAGTATGTAGTTCGCTCAACGCTACGTAGGAGGTGTTGTTTCAAACTCTCTCGCAACTAACATGAAACTTGGAAAGTATATGTATAAGGAGGCAGCATTCTCACGAATATTTGTGGAATTTTATTCTGCCCGTCCTCTCCTATTTTTGCACTGATGGATGTGAGGTAAATAATTTTTAGACTCTGAACGAAAGGGTTATTCACATTTAGATGTGATAGAAAATAATAACCATTTCTATAAAATAATTAATTAAAAAAATTAATATTTTTAATAATAAATAAAATAATTATTAAATGAACAAATTTATTATTTAATAAAAGTTAATAACAAATTTTTTTTATCAATTGTTTTTTAATGGCAGACAATAATGTGCCAATTATTGGCATCGGCGTGGACATCCCACGATTTTACCATTAGTGGTCCATTATTGGGTGCCAATAGTAAACATAGAGAAAACCAATGGCTCCCAATATTGGGCCATTAATGCACCAATGGTAGACTAATGGCTATTTCCCATTGGGTAATAATTTGAACATTTATTTAAACAATAATTTTAATAATACTTTAAATATTTTATAAATAAATAAATATTTAAAGTAGGGAAGAGTGGGCTACATTGAACCAGTGTCTACAGTGAACCACTTCAATTTTCTGAGAAATGACTGAGTGAAATTTTTTCTTATTCAATGTATAAGTTAGTATTACCGAAACGGTGATTTTTGTGACACGAGTGGAGGTCGAGGGACAGGGAGTAAAAGTCATTCACTTGTTCGACTTGTATGAAAATGGCGGCCGTATTCTCCCATGGACAAAAATAACGCATAGGATCAGCTGTTATGTTTGCCCTTGGGAGAACACGGCCGCCATTTTCATACGGTCGAAGAAATGAATGACTTTCCTCCCTGTCATGTGCTATGAGAAAGCGCCATTTTTGTGCAAATTAAATTTCATTATTTAATCATAATAATTTGCGTTCGTAACGTGTGTATTAACTAAAGGAGTACTTCAGTTTTATTTTGATACAAAGACCTGATCAAAATTTGTAAAATGTAATTAGTTCTTGGATTTTATAAAAAAAACCCGGTTCAAAGTAGCCCATTCTCCCCTATACAATACTTTCAACATTTACATAATAATTTGAACTTATTTATACAACAGTTTAAAGAATTAAACAATATTTTAGATATTTAAATGATAATTTGATCAATACTTAAAATATTTAAATAATAATTTGAACAATATTTAAACATTTAAATAATAATTTGAACAATTATTTAAACAATGCTTAGAATATTTCAAAAATTCTTTAGACATTTAAATAATGATTTGAACAATTTTATTTAACTAATCATTTAAATATTTAAACAATTTTTTCAGCATTTACATAATACTTTGAACTATTGCATTATCAATGATTTAAACATTGGTTTATTTATAGATACTAGTCGTGTAAATATTTGAAATAAGGGAAATATTTTTATAATTTCAGGATAAGAATGTTGTCAATTTGCACGCTAATATTTAGCATAGCAATTATTTTAATGGGAACAGTCAAAGAATATTGGCATCTCGTTGTACTCAGGATGATTCTAGCAGCTGGGTATGCATGAATTATGATGATTATTTCTTTTTTTATTTCCCTCTATTGCTTTTCAATCTTGGGAATAATAAGTTTTCACACTGAAACAAAAAATTAAAATATCGAAAGAAGCAAAAGAGAAAATTAAAGGGATAAGAGAAATCTTTTCTTTTTTTTTGAAAAAAATAGTGAAGCAGCATGCAATCCAATGGCAACTGGTCTCATATCAGATTGGTTTAGTGAGGAGCAACGTGGTCTGGTTATGTCAATTTTTAATTGGGGCATTTATGGTGGATATGGAATCGCTTTTCCAGTTGGTCGATACGTTCCGAAAGTTAATGCGTGGAATTTAGTAAGAATTTTGTTTTTCAAAAAACTTATTTTAATAAAAGAAGAAAGAAACCTTTTAGTTATTTTTCAATAATTGACTATTTACAGTAAGACCAAAAAAACAAACAAGAGATTAATATATAAAGTAATTTCAACCTATTATTTACAAAATCTAAATTACTTTGCTAGCAATTTTAATTACTTCCTGATGAGTAGTTTTTACTATTTCCGAATAACTCATTTTTAATATTTAGCAAAATTTACTTCAATCGTAATAAAGTTTGGAAATGGTAATTGAAAATAGAAATAGTAAAAAATTGACAGAAAGTATACTGCATAATTAATATTTTAATTATTAATTAACTTCTATAAATATTTTTATAACAGGGATGGAGAGTATGTTACTATGGTGCTGGAATAATTGGAGTTATTATTGCTTTTCTCACCGGTTTTACAATAAAAGAACCAGAGAGGACGACAATAGGTGAAGAAACAACAAATGCAAAGAAAAAAGTTTCCATCTGGAAAGTCATTTTTCAGCCACGCGTTGTTATTTTATGCCTCGCTGCCAGCATCAGGCATTGTGGTGTGTATACAAAATATTATCCAGCTTTCAAAGATTAAATTTTATTTTGTTTCATAGAAAAAAGAATTTTTATTCACAATTAAAACAAAAAATATTAGAAGTACATTGTGCACCAAGTGCGCGAAAAGAAGCTATTTTTTGACTTACCTATAAATTGTTGCTCGGGCTCGAAAAAATGTTACTTTTCGCACATGGAGCACAAGGTGCTTTGTGTAGCATTTATTCATAAAAAATGACATTTTTTTGTATTGTTTTTGAGAATAAATGTAAATTATGTTGCCTACCCAGTAAAAAAAAGTATTGAGTGGAGCCATTAGGAATTGGCAGTAGCTCTGAGCCAATACAGATTTGTGTAAAAACCGTATTGGGATGTTTGACTATACTCCGGTAGTGGGGGGTACAGGCCGAATACGTACGAATATGGTTTCTCGAAAGAGGCCAAGCAAACTGAAAAAGTTCTGAGTCGCGATAGCCTTCTTCGCAGACTACTTTTAATTTACCACCTGGTGGTAATTCAGCATAAGTATTAAGCACTGATTTGTATATACTAGTGTTTCTTTTCGATCCGAGAATTTCATGTTTTTCGAGCGATTTTGTTCGTTGTCGTCTTTGTTTTTCGAACGATCATCTCGTTTATTCTTTTTTAATTGTCAAATCGTATCGTCTAATTTCCTAATCGACCGAACTTCTCGACTTTCCCATAACTGACAGCTACAAATAGTATATAGTAATAACCTATTTTTAAAAAAATTTAATAACCAAAAATATTCATATTCTTTGTTGTTAATTCTTTTAAAAAATATAATTAAATTTATTTTAGTTAATTAAGATTATTATAAAAAGTTAATTTAGGGTGTCTAGAGAATTATGCTTTTCAAATTTCCGGACCAAAAAGTAAAATATTCCTGAATTTATTTTTTAAAACAATAATAACTATAATATTAAAATATTAATACTTTATAATAAAGAAATATTGAGAAAATCGACTTTAAAAAGTCAATAGACATCTTCTTTATTTAGAGAAATATAATATTAATTATATTAACTAATAAGTCGATAACATTGTAAGTTAGATTTAAATTTAAAATTAAACTTGTTTTCTATTTTTCTATTAGGTAGACACATTTTTACATTCTCATCACATGAGAAGGTATTATTTTACAAAGTATTGTTATTATTACTTCCTCATAGAGGAAGTATTGTAATACCAAAATTTTTCAAGTTCGATTTTTTGACATATCTTTATGATATTTGACCTCAGGAGTTCAGAAATGACATTTTTAAAAAATGTCATTCCGTATGTGTGTGTATGTGTGTGTAAACATCACATTTTCATAAATATCTCGAAATCATGAAGAGCTTTTGGGTTAAATTTTTTTTAAATTGTAGATCTCACCTGCGGACATAAAGTGAGAGTACTTTCTGATAAATTAATAAAGTTTAACTAAATTTTTTTTTATTTTTAATTTTGCAAAAAAACGTTTTCTGCCCATAACTTTAAAAAAATGTTAGGACACCTATAAATGTTTTTTTATAATTTTGTAGAGTTTTTTTAGACGCATCTTTTGAGCCCTAATTATCTGATTAAAAGATCTTACCTGTAAGTGAAGTTCAATCAGAATTGTATGAAGCGCCTCTTCCACATTCTACACGGAAAAAAATACTAGGCTAAAAACACATGAGCGTCTGTGCTTGGAATCCATCCTATTTTCGCATGGTGCTGTGGCAAAAGTCACAAAAGCCATGCATTTTTAGTAAACTCCTGTGTGATATTTGCAAAATGGGCTCATGTAAAAATCGAACCAATAGACTCCATGCATTATTAGGCTGATTTTTTTTCCGTGTACTAAGTAAAAACGAAAAACTCCCTCTATATCGTGAGTCATCGCTTTTCCTCATTTTTTTTAAAGTGCTGCTGTGATATATTGGGCATAAAGAATTTTTAAAATATACCTATATTGCTAAAATTATTAGGGTAATGTAAAAAAGGAGGGGAATGATCTATTCGGAAAAGGCGCTTCCTACAATTCTGATTGAACTTCACTTACAGGTAAGTTCTTTTAATCATATAATTGTATTTGGCGCCTCTTCCTCTAGATCATATTGTAGATGTTTAAAGATTTTTTCACGGCAGATTAATAAACATATATTTTAACATTAGAGACAGAACTCAAAAATACAATTTGTTAATTTATAATCAATGTAACATCATTTCTTGAAAATTGCATCTGCGAAAACTTTTTTGTTCGAAAGTAACGGTTTGTTATAAAAGGTTGCGAAAGTACGAGAACTTTCAGACCATCCTGCAGTTTTTTTAATACAATCTATACTAATTCCTTTCCGTTTAGCAGTCGAAGTTGCCGCGTGACGCGTGCTATACGCATCAAATAAACTCGTGTCAATACCACTATCCGACATAACTTTTTTGATCCAACGGCTTAATGTTTGGCTACTTGCTGCTTTATACGGTTTCTTAATAGTTATAAATAACTTATTTTCACTTCCTCGAAGTTCTCTTGTTTTTTCGACGTATAAATCTAAGGTCGATGCTGCACAAATAATCAGATTATCTCTATAATGAGGAATGTACAATGTAGGTTGGGTTTTATGAACCCTCGACGTTTTAATTTTTTCTGGTATCTTTATCGTGATAGCCTCGTTGCTTCTTTCTAAATCTCTAACATCTATTAAAGCTAAAGTCTGTATTCGATGTGCAGTAATAAGCGCAAGTAAAGTCACTAATTTTAATGTAATTTTTTCTAACGAGAGTAAATTTGAAGGTCCCCACTCACTTAAATGGTCCAAAACTTGTTGAGGATCCCAAGTGTTATCATATTTTGGCTTAACGGGTCGAATATTTGAAAAACCTTTAAAAAGTCTCTTTACTCGAGGATCTTCACCAAGTTCCGGTCCATGTAAGAGAGCAATAGCAGAACGACAGCTATTCAGAGTTCCAACGGCTGCACCCTTTTGAAACTCCTCAGACAAAAATTCAATTACTCTTGATAGATTTGGCGTATAGATGTCTTTATTTTTATTTTTACAAAAAATTGCCCATTTTTTCAATCAGGAGGCATATTGTTTAGTAGACGAATTTGACAAGGAAGCTAACATTATATCTAAAGATTGTTCAGGAACTTCTTTTCTCCGGAAGGCTTCCCGGATAGCATCCCTGCAACTAATGTTAACTTCCCCCAAAGTGGGTGCGGCTTCCTGTCCAAAGAACACAAAAGATTAACATCTGGATTTAGGAAAACTGGTTTCGAAATTAACATTGAAAAGTAAAGAGGGAACCAGGGCTAAGCTGGCCAAAATGGTACCACGACTATTCCTCTAGCTGAATCATCGATAGTCTTTCTCAAAACTCTCAAAATTATTGAGAAAGGCGGAAACGCATAGAATTGATATTCGCTCCAATCTAAAGCGAAAGCATCCACAGCCATTGACCCAGGGTCCCTTTGCCATGAAACATAAAGCTTACACTTTGTATTCGTCCTGGTAGCAAATAAATCTACTTGTGGCTCACTGAATCTCGAGGTAATAGTTTAAAAAGCTGAACAAGATAAGGAGTATTCAGTTTCCAACTTCAATTTTCTCGACTCAAAATCAGCCTCGATATTTTCTTTGGATTTAACGTAAGACGCAAATATCCAAATCCTTCTCTCCTCGCACCATAGCCAAATTCTTTTAGCCAATTCATTGAGTTTCGGAAACTGAATTCCCCCCATCTTGTTAATATAGGCGATAGCTGTTGTATTGTCCAACCGCAATAAAATATCGCAATCTGACAATTTTTCGCTGAAACATTTCAATCCAAAAAATGCAGCCAAAAGCTCTAGATAATTTATGTGGTTTACTTTTTCATTGTTGTTCCAATAACCATGAGTTCGTTGTTTATCACAAAACACACCCCAACCAGACATCGACGCATCCGAAAAAATCTCAAGTACTGGCCGAAAATGAGAGATTGGTTTAATCGAAAAATTGATATGATCTATCCACTATTAAAAATCTGATTTCAATTTTTCTAAAGGATACATTACAGCGTCGAAATCATCACCGTTAATTTTAAGAAATAAAAATTTTTCTCTTTCAAAATCCTTCATATGCACCCAACCATAGGTCAGTGCGGAGCAACAGGAACCCAAAGTACCTATAAAAGATGCAAAATCTCGGATTTTACATCTTTTTTGCTTAGAAAACTTTTCAATTTGTGATTTTACATTCTCTCTTTTATCTTGAGGTAACTCAACCAGCATATCCTGAGAATTATAAATTAATCCTAAATATTTGCGTGACTTTGCAGGGACCAATTCACTTTTTGTATAATTTAATATAAAACCCAGACTTTCTAACCGAGAACAAGTAACCTGAACGTTTTCTTGACACTCTTCAAAACTATTTCCAATTAATAATATATCGTCTAAGTTAATAACAGATAGGTAACCTTCTTCTCTAAAACTAGCCATTATTGGTTTCATTAATTTAGTAAATATGTACGGAGCCGTACATAGTCCGAAAGGAATACACATATACTGGTATAAAACCCCATTGAACCTAAATCTTAAATATTTTCTATCGGAAACTGCGACTGGAATTAAATGATAAGCGTCCTTCATGTCTATTGTCGCCATAAAGGAGCCACGGTTTAGCATTTGCCTTACCGTCCTACCATCTTTTAACTTGAAGTGAGAAGTTTCGATAAACATATTCAGTGGACGTAAATTTAATATCAATCTGCTAGATCCATCTGATCTAGGAATAATAAATATTCAAGATAGAAACTGTTTAGGATGAGATTTACACTTCTCAATCGCACCTTTATCTAATAAGACATTAATTTCACTTGACATAATTGATTTCTCATTTTTTGACAAAGACTGTTCGAAAGGTGGAATACGCTGTATCACTTCTTTACAGAATGGAATTTTATATCCTGAGACCCAATTAAGAATTCGTTTGTCCAAAGTCAACTGACTCCAAATTTTAAGAAAAAATTT